TAATTACTGAAAGAAGCTTTCTTTTAAGTTATAAACTCCCTTTGTATTTATTTTTAAATTTTAGAATAGATGAAGTGGAATAAGTCAGAGCTTAAGTTGCATATCATAAATGCTAGCACCAGTATCATTTACCTGAGTTTAGTAATTACTTTTTACTCGAAATATTTTCATGTTTTCCTAAAAGTTAGTGATTATTTAACTTTTGAGTGGACTTAATGTTCTTGTTAAAACATGATGGGCAGCTGTTACCCTAACAGCATAATAATAATGCTTTTAAGAGAAGCTTCCCTCTTTGGAATGCGTGCTTTAAGTCCTCTTAGAACTGTTAGAGAATTTTAAAATACAAATATTGAAGCAGCTTAGAAACACTAGAGGATTACTGAGGTAGCAAAACGCACTAAAACACTAAATAGTAGAGCTAACAGTACAGAACATTTTGCCTTTGGTTTCATTTCTTCTTGAAGTAAGTTTGCATTTATATTCCCCGTACTGTTATTTCGGTCTTTTGGCTGTGCATTTAGTTCATCTGTTAAGCACATACTCACTGAACTCTTATTTTTATCTGTTTGCACCAGGTGCTAGATTCATGAGAGTTGGGTTTGAAGTTTCAGTTGTAGTGTGTGCCCAGTCCTGCATTCTAAAATTTGCAGGATCAAGGGCAACAATATACAGAGGCTGCTATACCCTGTTTCTAATATTTAAAAGTCACAAATCAGGGCTGGAGAGATGGCTCAGCAGTTAAGAGCACTGACTGCTCTTGCAGAGGACCTGGGTTAGAGTCCCAGAACCTGCATGGTGTCTACGAACCATCCTTAACTCCAGTTCCAGGGGAATCCGACACCCTCTTCTGACCTCTGCGGCATTGCACGACACAGGTGCACTCACATACATGTAGGCAGTACACTCATACACATAAAATGTATTTAATAGATAAAATACATTTAAAAAGTCATAAATCCAAGAAGGAGATTGCAAAAAAAGAGAGGAAGAAAAAGCACAAGAAGGAAGAGAGGAGAGGGTAGAAGGGGTAGTAGGGAAGAGATGTGATGAGGAGGTGGGGTGGGGTGAGGAGGTGGGGTGAGGAGAATGGGGCTGGGATGGGAGGTGGGATGGGATTGGTGAGGGGATGAACTGAGATAAGATGAGGAGATATCATGAAATGAGGAATTGAGACCCTTTTCTTCCTGTCTGGAAAAATAGAAATAGCTCAGTGGTCTAGTCAGCCCAGTGGGGGTTAGACTTCTTAGGCCCCAGTTTCGCAATAGAAAGTAGTGGTGTTATTTGGGGAGAGACAACCTGTGGAGTAGCCCAAATTTCCTTTTCTCCAGATCTGCCTTTATTCCCAGCCAGGAGGAGCTGTGCTTGTGGACAGTGTAGTGCTGTTTACATCCCTTTGAATGACAGCCTCTTGGATCCTCTCAGATCTGGAGGTCCTTCTTGCAGGGCTGAGCATCCTGATGAGGAAGGACTTGCAGGAGGGACCTAACAGGCTGTGGAAGCCAACTTGGGGCTGTTTGGACAGATTTCTAGGCCTTGGGATTTAAGAGGGCAGGGCAGACTCTGAGTGGACAAGTTTTATGCCTTGGGGCATTATTGTGGACAGGAATGTAGTCAGTGCAAGAACCAGGAGGTTTTTGGAGTCCTGTGCTCAGGCCATGTGCTCGGGTGGTATTGTGTATGCCCATGTGCCAAATGAAACAAAATGTCCCTTAAGAGGACCAGATCTCCAGACTTCTAAGCCATGATCGGGAATCCAAAATTAACATTGCAAATCATGATTTGCCAATGAATAATTACTAGGTTGCCTAATTGCACATAGAAAATAGATAATTGGGCTTTCAACTTTGAAATGGGATTTATACCTTCTTTGTAGAACTTCTGATTATTCATTTGTTTTAGATATTTTTTCACTTAAAATAGCTGTTAGCTCCTTTATGGTGATAGTGTTGTTAGCTTGAAAAAGAATAAATTGAAAGGTATTTTTAATGTTATTCTAGCCTTGGTTCAATTTCCTAGTGTATTCAAGGGAAAGAAAAAGCTGTGAATTGACCACTTAAGTAAATCAGCTCGCGACTGAGTGTCCTCAGATTATTAAATCTACAGATAGGAATATAATTTTATATCACAAAAATTCATTGTATACAACTTTTCATAAAATATTATCTTTCTGATTGGCCTCATGTTAATATGCAATTGTAGTTTTTATAGCAATTTAGAGGAAGAGAGAACCAATTCAGTGGAAAAGGGAATACTTGATTAGTCTATTGTATAAGAGCAATAAAAACTAATTTACTGTTATATTACTCAATATTGAAAGCTGCAAGAGGCTATCTTTTAGCTCATTCTTCATTAATTGTGGTATATTGTAGTGGTATTAGTATCTATTATAGATGAGTTTTATGGAAGGTTTTTAAGTTGGTATCTCTGAGCTCATGTAAATATCTCTGACATATTTTCTGTGTGATTGTTGAAGGGCAAATGAAGTATTGAAGACAGAATGGATTAATCAGTCACTGTAATTCCTCTATGAAAACTCCTGTGATAAGCCAGTCTTGGAAATGATCTTAGTTCATAACAAATTACAACTGTTGGAAATACATAGTTACACTTAAAAAAAAAAAAGCCTTTTACCTGTTCATCTTTATGAAACTAGCCCCACTTACTTTGCCTTTTTCTTAGATTGCTGGTTTTTAAAAAATTAATGTTAAAGGCTTTCCACTGCCCAGAGCTATTTTAATTTAGTCAATAGTCAAGTAATTAGAAAGTAGCTTTGACCTTTGCTAAAATGTAGGTGAAAGGTATATGTGATATTTTAGAATGAGGATTCTAATTGAGTCCTTTAGGAAGTATCCATGGTCCTAGATCATGATAGAAGTACATTTGCTTAGACATCTGTGAATGAATTCAGTTTAATCTTGTATTAAGTAGGTAGAAACAGCATGACAAATTAAATGTTATGGTGGGTGCTAAATCAATATTGTGATCTTTAGTTTTTGAACAATAGTAACACTAATTAGTTCTTAGGCTGCACTAGTCTTCTCAGCTCACTGTAACAAAGCACCACAAACTGAGTGGCTTACACACAATCAAAGGTTATTTTCTAAGTCTAGACCCTGAAAGGGAAGATAGCAGCACTGAATTTTTTTGAGGCTCCTTTCCTTAACTTCTAATGACCCTTTCCCCCAGGCTTCTTTGTGTGTGTCTGGGTCCTAATCTCTTTGTATAAGGCACCAGCTGCAAAAGACTAGGATCCTCCTTCATGACCTTGTTTTACCTTACTAACCCCTTTCAAGACCTTACCTCCAATAGGCACATTCTGAAATAGGAGTTAGTATTTTAGCACATAACACAGTTTAGTCTCTAACAGGAGCAAAGAGTGAATTATATGCAAACTGAATTTATGAGTAACCAATATGCTTTTAAAAATATTTAAATTGTATATTAAAAATTGTTAGAAATGCTTTTGTAAATCTTGTTTTCCCTAGTTTGATTGTGTAGCTCAGTCTTCAGTACTCACTATTTTCAAACCCAAGGTTATTGGCATGGACAGCAGGTGCTGTAACATCCTCATTTAAGGGTAGATTGGGTTTTCTTGGCTCACCTCTGGGGATTGAGCTTTAGGGCCTTATTCAGTGCTCTGAGGCAGGGCTCTGAGTTAGTGACTTTGTGAAACATGGTAGGATTTCTTGTATATCAGTGTTGCACGAGAGACCTTTGAGTTTTTCTAAAGGCACAGGCCTTTTAGTCTAGCATGGAAAAGTTAAATTATCCAAGAAGCGCTATTTGATGGCAAACCAGCTTAAACATGCTCTAAATGAAGAAAGTCCTGTAAAGAAAACTTGACATTGTATTCCTGTTTGGCTCCTATAGCAGATGCTCAACAAATCACTTTAGAACGAGTGAGTTCGAGCAAGAGAGTGAATGGTCACAGCTGCAGTTCCCTTCTCAAAAACACCTAATCATATTGTTGGAACAGGTGCCTTATCTTTACCATCTCTCATGTTTTTTGTTTCTCACTAGCAAATACAGTATTCATTGAGTGGTAAATTAATCTTAGGCAAGCACAAGCCCTCCCTGTAGTTCTGTTCTTTCCCACGTGTGACCTTTGGCAGCTCTTGAACAGTAGTTCAGCATAGAAGTCTAGAAATTCTCCATCCTCTAAGATTTCATGCATGAATACAAATCATTTCCACGGAGTCTACTTTGCCTGCCATCAGTCTGTGAAATTGGTGGCTCTGTGTATTGTGGCTTTTGCCATTTTAGTCATGTGTCTGATGGGGCTATGCTTGGACTTGAGTCTGGTTAAAGATTTTGCTTTGGCGCAAATGCTGTGTAAACAGTTTCCAAGATATTTGTAAAGTAGTAAGATAAATAAGAGGACCAAGTTCTACTTTGGGAAAAAAAAGAATAGGTAAGCAGTTGTTTGGTGTTACCTCGTGGTTCCGAAAAATTAAATGATGATAGCTTTTAGGAATAAATGCCTATTTTGGGCCGAATTCTCTGCTCAGTATTTGTATTGGTTTAGTAATTATCTTATCACTCTACTTTTGAAGTTTGGGCTTAGTTTGTAATTGCAGTACTTTATCTTAGTTTCTATTTACTGAGTGGGCAAGCATTTCAGATGTACAACAAAAAGATAAAATTTTGATCCCAAATTATGAAAACAATACTTGTTAGTACTGTTTAGATTTTTAAGATTAAAAACAAATCCTTAAAGTATAAATCAATAATTGAATTAAGTATAAATATCTGCTTTTTACAGAACTTTAGGTCATCTTTCTCATTTCTGTGGAAATTTTTGTGCAGTATCAGAGTGTTTTCATCATTTCAGTGTCAGTGGGTTTTTTATTTCATGTCAACTAAAACAGTTCCACTAACTGAACACATCTTTCTATGAATAAAAGAGCTAAGGGTATCCAACAGTAATGCAATAGAATGTGACTAAGTTGAAATCAGCTGTATAAATCACACCTTCTTGGTGTATTTGTGTCTTGATTTAGGTTGGTTGAAGACTTTCAATGACTACTTTAAAGACAAGACTCAATATATTTTTAATAACATGGTCCTAAAGCTGAAAGAAGACTCCAGCATGAAATTTATGTGGTCTGAAATCTCTTTCCTCTCAAAGTGGTGGGATATTATAGATATTCCGAAGAAGGAGACTGTTAAAAGGTTTGTTTCAAAACTTAAAAAAAATTAGTAATATTAAAGATCCATAACAAATGTAGAATTTTTAGGTGATTTTTTAGCTTTATATCTGAAACTTAAATAGTTATTCATGTCTCTTTTTGATTCATCTCTTGAGGACTGGAAGCATAACCTTTCCATTGAAATCCGTATGCTTTATGTTTGTCCTAGGAATAGAATTGCAAGGTCAAACGGGTTTGATATTTTCAAGACTTTTTATTTTATTTTAAAAATTATTTTCTTTTCTTTTATGTATATGAATGTATTGCCTACATGTTTATAAGTTGCAGCCTTGTTGTGCAGTGCCTGCAGAGGTCAGAAAAGGGCGCCATGTCCCCTGGAACTGGAGCTATGCAGAGTTGTGGGTGCTGGGAACTGAACCCAGGTCTTCTGCAAGATCAGCCAGTGCTCTTAACCTCTGAGCCATCTCTCCAGCCCCTAATTTGCCTTTTGATTGCTTACACAGTTGCATATTTTCTCATATGAATAGTTGTGTATATGTGTGTGTATGTGTGTGTGTGCATGTGTGTGTGTGTGTGTGTGGCTTGCTTCATATTACTTTATTTTACTGATTTGTATATGTTTTCCTCTGAAGACTTATTTATTAATAAGTTCACAATATAGACTTTTTATGTTGTCAAATCTGTTACCTTTTTTTTTTTTTGATACTGCCTTTGCTATCATGGTTCCTTCTCAACTTACAATTGAGGCAAATAGTTCATTTTTCCTCTAATTTTATTTTTTTAGCCCTTAATTTAAAAAAATCCAAATTATGTTTTAAAATTTGGTGTGATTAGAGGTTCTCTGATCTAAGCACACCTATTTTCAAGAGTTAGAAATTGTTGTGGGTTGTGTATTGAATGCCCCTTGTACAGCACCTGCTGAATTAGTCACTGTTCCAAGCACTTTGCAAGTTGTAACTGGTAATTCCCTCAGCGGTTCTCTGAAGTAGGTGTAGTCATGGTCTCAGTTTACCATCAGGACACTGACTCATTGAGGGTTCTGTGCTGTTGTGACAGGGATGGTGGTCCTCCCTGCCCAGGCCGTCTACCTGTTGAGCACTTTGCACACTGTTACTTCCCTCAGATATAAAGTGCCTTCCTCTTTTACTGATCAGAAGTGCCTTCTTTATTGTTTCTAAATATGTATTGACTTGAGCTTTCTCATTTGTTTCATGGACTTTAATGTTTATGATATTCTTCATAACTGACAGTCTGAATCTTAACTTTCTGTGTTGAAAAATTATTTTAATGAGTAATGATTTAACTTCCCTGAAGAGCTCTAGAATTAATTTAACTTCTTCCTATCCCATCAAAAATACCCTTAGATTTTTATAGATTGACACGAGTATTTAAAAATAATCTGGATGTCTATCATACACATTGGAGGATATTTTTTCCCCTGACAGCAGCCTTGAGGTATTGGCTAGAAGGGTGAAGTAGGCTTTGGGGGTATGGGAAGGAACTAGGGAACCACCATGGTCAGAGGAGCCAGCCACCCTTTTCATAAACACATGTGGCCATGGAGACCAGAGGTGTCAGTATATCCCTTTAATTATACAAGATAATCCACAATTCCAAATGTTATATAACATACCTTGATTTGAGTTTTAAAAGTTGAAATATTAACAGTGATTTAGATTAACATACTATATGAGGTGGGAACCAGAACAGAGAGTCGGGGAGGAAGGATAGAGAGAGGGAGAACTGCTGACTAGTATTTCTGAATTCATAGCTTAGATCTATGAACTGTCTTATAAAATCACATAGAACTGGTGTTTTCTTTGTAGCTAATTCTTAAGTATTAAAATGAGGAGGCTTTTGTTTGTTTATATCCTACTCATTGAGTGGAAATAAAATGTATTGTCTAAAAGATTATTATTATTATTATTATTATTATTATTATTATTATTATTATTATTTTGGTCCTTTTGAGACAGAGTCTCCCTGTAGCCCCAGCTGGCCTGGAATTTGCTATGTAGACTAGGCTGGCC